AGAAAAACTGCCTAAAAACACCTTACAGAAACCCCCTATCAGACACAACCATGTGGAAAAGGCTGCTCGCATACCAGAGTCTTTCATTGGTAGTCGGCTCTATTGTTTATTATGCAACAGCCTGAACACACAGCCAGACTTTTCAGAGGGACCATCCTAATGCAGCGTGAATGTCAATGACCAACTCATAAGAGCTGAAACTGGTTTTTGATGCGATTAAATGCAATTGAAAACATGCATTCTGTTAGAAAATTATGATGGTGGCAGTTTTTTTTTTTCTTTGTTTATTTTAGAGCAAGTGAAGATGACGATTTTTATACCGCCTCTATATTCACACAAACAGCATTAAGACATTTCCCCATGCACACAGACTTACTCGTGTAACAATCCAGCTTCGGGTGGACAATGTTGACTTTGCCGTATTTCTCTGCTTCTTTTGCTGCTTTTGCTGACCATGTGCCGGTCACGAGGTAATCGGCACACCCATCCTCTTTGAGGCCAATCAGGTTGAGGGGAACAGCGCTGAACTGTCCAGACCCGCCGCCCTGCAGAAACATCACCTTATAGTTGTCTGGGATGTTTCTGTGAAGACAAAAATCATTGTATTCATCAATGTGCAGACAGACCTTACACTGATATTACCTCTTTACACTGATCCTTAGCGAGCAGAGACACAGCTTGCAGAATATTTACAACAGACACAGTACATCGGTGTTTGATACTGTGGTTGTATGTTAAAACTAAAACTTTTAAAACTGACGCATCTGGTTCCACCAGTTTGTGTGCCATCAACCTTGTGATGCATTACAATCATTATCAGTTTTTCTTAGATTACAGATGGGATTTCTTAACTCACAGCTCACAATTTCTGCTCCATTTTGATCAATTGTGAGGGGGAAAAGCAACCTTTGCTGTTAGCATGAAAGAAATCTTTTTAATAATTTATAAAAGAATAATACAATGTACATTTTGTTTAAATTTGTAGTTATTTGTGGTATTTTGGGGAGTAGGAGAAACACACCTACTAGACTGACAAACACTACCTTTGCACAGCCTAACCCTAAACCTTTTTGGCATTCGGCCCGTCACAAGAGAGCCTGAGGACACACAGACGATGTTAACAAAAGGAGAAAAAGTACAGGTTATTGATGTTGCAATATTATTATTCCTATAATTCTACTTGTCAATTAATCATGTTTTACTCTGTTCTTCCGTATTTCTGGGTATGCAGGTTTTATGCAAGTTTCCCATGATATGTGGTATAATGTTAAAACTTAAGATAAAATATAAAAAGTCACCCCAGAATTACTGGGTACGGTTGTGTTATCTGTTTCCAAGTAGAATACATATTGTACATTTTAAGCTGAAACAGGCAAGATAATATGAATTAACAGCCTAGTTTGCAAGCGTGCAGAGTCATACTGTACTGCAGCACCACTGTTCCTTTCTTTACAGAAAGAGGAGTAAAGATGGAGGATAATACAGTTGAAAAACAACAAAAAGAAACTTACAGCAACTCTCGCAGGAGAATCTCTGTTTTGTTGATGATTTTGTTGAAGTCTGATGATCGGTGACTCATCTCTGGTTTGAACAGAATCAAAAACAATTAGATCTCATTGTCAGTGACTCACCTTTTAGCAAAATCGATGTTATGAATCATTCAGCAACAGAGTGAGGAAGCAGGAATCAGCTATTATCTGTGCATTAAAGAAACCTTAGTGAAAGAGACTGTAACCTTCCCCAAATCAGTGTATGAAACAAACAAATATTCTGTATTTCTAAATTTTTTCCACCATTTAAGGTTTGACTGGCGCTCGCTTGTTGCATCTTCTTCTTCTACACTTGTATAATAGCACCTGACTGAAGATCTAGCCCTACCCACTGCTCATCTCGATGAACCAAATCCTAATATTTCTATCTGTAGTTCTACTCACCGAGAACACTGATGCCAGTGCCGCTGTAGTCGAGGAGTTCCTTCTGTGCCTGAAGCAGCACCTGGAACAAATAAAAGTATTTCTTCACAGACTGCAAACAGCATCAGAAATAATGACAGTCCAAACTACTGAGGCTGATGTGATACCACGCATTGTGCTCTTTATCTGGATTCTGTTTTATCCAGAATAAGATTATTCAGGTTTTAATTGGATTTCTTTAGAGATGTGTAACATTTGATTAATGGTGGTAAAAAGAGAATGTACAAAACCTCAGCAGCACAAATATACATTTAGTTTTGCTAGTTGCAAGTTTTGTGCAAAGGACCAAAAACACAAATGAATCAGAATCCTTTTAAAACCTGAATGCAACTGAATTTAGCAGCAGTCTAACACTGGGACTGCTCTTTTTAACTATTAAAACAGATTTTTTCTGACCATAAAAGCTGTGATTTATTTTTCTGAGAAGGTCTTTTTTCTGCCATCTAGAGGCTGTATCTGCTGCTGCCATTGGAGCACAAAGGAGCAGGTTTCCACATGAATGAATGAAGGCTGATGCAACTCAACACACCGTTTACAGCCTGGTGGAGCTGCTGACAAACGCCAAGCCGACAGCAGCCCTGAAACCAACACTCATTATCCCACATAACTGCTTGCCACTCTCTGTCGTTGTGAGAGGGAAATGGGGCCAGCAGATCCACCGTGAATGTGCAAAAATGATTTGAATGTTGCTTGAATCAACCACATGAAGAAGAGTCGAGATGAGAAACACGTTTGCAGCGTGCATCTGCAGAAATCTCTTCATGTAAGTCACATTTCTCTCTCTGGTAGTTTACGCAACACAGTTTTCGCGTCTTTTACAGCTTTTTTTCCCTCAGATTTTTAACGTCACACAAGCAACATGAGGGTCTGAACTTACGGATTGGGGGAGTTTTGCGGGTCCAGCGCCGAAGTTGATGGTTTGTTTCTGCTCCATGATGTAAAATGAGTTCCTGTGTCCAACTAATGGATGTTTTCCTCTGTTTGACTCGGCGATGTGGATGATTCGTCCCCGCAGTCTCGGCTGTGCTTCTGCCTCTCCTCCTGCACTCGTCGGCGTGGATGCCACTTATCTAACGTTGTATGCAAGTTAACGTGCTGCGTTCAGGTGCTCCGCGTAAACTCGTACGGTCGACTAACAGAAGAAAGTTTACTTACACGTACTTACAGACGTGTACAGTAAATATTTTAGGTTATAAGAAAATAAAGAAAAGAGGTTTTATTATAATTTTGTCATCTTATATTATTGTTGTTTATTTTTGTATTATTTAAATTCCGTTAATTCTAGTTTAACCGTGCAAAGCACTTTGTAACTTTTGTTTTGTAAATAGTAAAAGTTTATTATTACATACACAAACTTGTTAGTGTTAATAATGTTCAATTAAATTATTACTGGTTTGATAAGTTAAATCAATTTTGCACATATTAGCAAATGCATGCCATGTGACCACAAATATGAAAGTAAACAGAGCTAGAACTGTAACATACGTTTAACCTAATTTATTACAAGCACATCAGTAACAACAAATTAGAGTCCTTACAGGTCCCACATGCCATAGACAGGATCATGTTTCCACTTACAGTGGAGTGGAATTCCTCCGTGTTTCTAGTGGCTTGCCAGACACAAACAGCTGCATTAACCTGTTTGGCTGCATACATTGCTGATGTTGTATCTTAAAGGACAGGTTCACAATTTTTCAAGTCTGTCTTAAAATAATATTTAGGTGCCCATATGAACACTTAAACAGATTTTTCATGGTGTAAATATTTCTCCTGTTCATACTGGCCTTTAAAAGATCCTTAGCCAACTTGTTGGTGTATGTTAATGATGGGTGTAATGTCCACAGTCCTTGTTCTGTGAAAAATGTATGTGAAGTTAATATACAGACTTGGAAAATGGGAATCAATCCTTTATCAGTACTCCTGTTCTTCAATTACACTCCCTGACTCCAAGGTTTTCCGTATGTCATTTAGTTTGTGGTAGTTTGATTTATCACAACTTTAGGAATATGCACCATGTGAACACAATATATAAAGTCTAAAACTAAACTACATTTTGGCACACAACCCCTTTGCAGAACAGGGAGGGCCTCAAGATGATTTAGACAATTCAGAATCCAAAGAAGAATTTACTAAAATAAACTGGGGTCTGGGGTTATCTGTTCATATGCACTCTGTGGAAATACAAACATTTTCAGCATCACCTGAAGGCAGCTCATTCTCAACCAGCCATTTCATTGGCTGGTGTCACATGTCTGTTTGGCAAACAGATATCATTGGTGAATATCAAGTCAGATCTGGACTGATTGGCTCTGCTGTCTTGTCTGCACAAGCAAGACACTCAGTCACAGACCATTATTGACAGCAGAGAAAACTTCAGTGAAGAACAGCTTTTATATACACAGTAAACAGTGAAGTCCCCAGTTTAATATACCGCAACCCTTCTGTCACTGTGTTAAAACAACTGAAGTGAAGGGATGAAACTTTAAAATATGACGTCCATGAGTTCGCTTGTTTATAGTCCCTTTGTGTAGAACTACAACTTGCTTTCTGAGGTTATAAACAGCAGCAATAACCTTTGGCTGCTCTTTCAAAATATCACCCATAAATGTATGGCTTTGGACATTTCAAAACCAGTTCTGCTCAGCACATTCAAGCTACAACAAGTGTTGTTACAAGTGTTTCTGTAAAGTTTCAGGTTGTGTCTTAAGTAGAAGAGAAAAGATTTCTGGGTATCCTAAATACAGTGGTAGAGGAAGTATTTAAGACCTTTCCTTAGCCGAATGAAAAGGGTGTATGCTGTAGCCTACATTTGTGCTATTGGCTATATAGATTGAATTCCTTTGACTGACTAGAAGACCTAGTATCTGTTATAATGCTGTACAAAGATAAAGCACCACCAATTCCCAAATAAACTGTACACTGAAGAACAGCCTGCGGATACTCCAACAAAACAACAGGACACAATGGAAAAAGAACATTACCGAAAATAAAAGTTAGCAGTAATAAAACAGATCACGCAGAATTTGTGCAAGTGTTTAACCAGGCTCCTTACAGTAGCACGTTTAAATGAAACAGGGCTTCTGTCCATAAACGATGCAGTCAATAACAGTTGCAGTTGTTGTCCAACACCATTTTCTTCCCCTCCTTGAGAAATTGTGAAGAAGATAAAACCAGCAGCTCAAACATTTTGACATCCAGGGAATTGGTTGCATCAGTCCAGCTAAGCAAGAAAAATGTGACAAAGATAATTGTATTTCAGCAGCTTGTGAAGATCACGAGAGGCGTCAGGCTAGTTTGTCCTTTTTAGGAGATCACATGGTACGCTACTGTGTGTGTGTGTGTGTGTGTGTTTTAAACCTGTCACTTACTGGTGTTGCCAATACTTTTTAGATGGAGCCCACATTGTGTGTATGTGTGTGTGTGTGTGTGTGTATGTCCATGCACAGAGGGCGAGCCGGCTGCTCTCATCTCCAGAACAAACAATAAATAAACAATGAGTGCACAGTGTCCGAATGCCAAGCGTGGCCTTTAGGATCCAGATGAAAGAAAGTGCATCTCTGCTTCTCCTTTGGGTGCCTGGCGATCCATCTCTCCCCCTTCCTCTGCATCCATGTTTCCCACCCTCACTCTCCCCCTCGTGCGCCACAGAAATATGGCAGGGAAGGCGTGCTTGAAGGCCTTTCTGAAGTTATTTCCCATGAAGGCGTAAACCAGCGGGTTGATGGAGGAGTTGGAGTAAGACATGCACTGACCCCAAATCTTCAGCTGTGGATGCAAAATGAAGACAGACTCAGATGAAAAGAATTTTTGAAGCAAGTGCATTGATTTCTGCCACTACAGTCCTGTCATCCACTGTCACTGCTGGGAGAACTAAACTGAGATTGTAGAGCCACACAATCTCATCTCTTAAAAAGTCTCCAGGGTTACAAAGACAACAACAGAAAACTAAACTAAACTAAATCTGTTGATTAGACAAGACACAAGAATTGAGGTTAATAAGGAGTGTCATTTTAATATGATTTCTGTGTTTAAATGTGACAAAAAGCAGTGTTTGTGGTAAACTGTCAGGTCCGGGGAGTGTGACAGGGGTCAGATATTACTGCCAAAATACGGACTATCTGTGCATATCCAAATAATGTATTTGTATTTGATTACGGCACAGTGAGGCTCATTTAATCACATATCATGGAGAGTAAGTCACCTTGTATAGAACGTAACTGCGGAGGCCAAAAGCCTGCAGGAGGATGCAGACCTGGATGGGGCCCCAGCAGATGAGGAACAGAGCTACCATCACCACCACCATCCGGGAGACCCGCGCCCGCACTGCTGCTGCTCTCTCTGCCTGAGCCTGAAGCTGGAGTTGGAGAGGCTTTGTGAAGTCTTTGCTATGGCAGAACAACAAACAGAACAAAGCAAGTGAAAGTATTTTTAGTATCTTTCTCTTACTTGGTAGCTGCTGTCGATGGGATTCACGCTGGGCTGCCCTATGCGCTTGAGCATGAAGGTGTAACAGGCGGTGATGGTGAGCAGGGGCAGCAGGTAGACAGCCAGGAAGCTGTAGATGATGAAGGCTCTCTGGAGGCGGGCCGAGGGGAAGACCTCACTGCAGTATGTCTGGGGCCCAAACCAGTATCCTGCCTCCAGACGCTGGTAGACGGCTACAGGGATCGACAGAAGCAAAGAGCCTGGAGAGGACAGGGGACATGACTGTGAGACTCAGAGAATAATGTTCATTATGAGGTTCACTTACTGCCAGTATTTATTTTTATTTTTTTAATGGGTGATTTGGTGTTGATTTGTTGTTCTATTAAGAAGATATTAGCACAAAGGCCCAAATCAAAGCGTCCTTTTAGAAACTATGACATCACATCCTTTTTCTCTACAGTTTCTACCTAAAGATAAGTCTAAAAAGCCCCCAAAAACTCTAACAAAGAAAGGCAAAAAAAATCTTTTGTTCATTCTTTATTTCAAAACATGTGTGTTGGCTTATTAATTAAAAGAAACAATAATTGCAAGTTTGATATGAATAAATGAATTAATAGTTTTATGGTCAGGTGCTTCAAGTTGTCTGACTTTGACTTCAGTTTACAGCAATAGATAATCAACATCACAGGGACGGCTATTGAAACAGAAGCAATACGTTTTTACCACTGTCTCTTTATCAGTGTGTGTGTGTGTATAAGGTTGTGAGTGTGTGGGTGGTGTTTTTGTGTGATACCTATCCAGATGGACACAGAGATGGCCAGAGCCATGCGTGGGGTTCGGTGTCGCAGAGACTGCAGAGGATAGACAGTCACATAGCAGCGGTCCACACTCATAGCTGACAGAGTGATACATGTAGCTTGAGCCGTCACCTGAAACACACACACACACACAAGATATGTTTGTTTCTGTATGATGAATTATATTTACTGCGCAAAGAAAATATTCCGCCTGCTCTCCTTTTTTGAAGTTGGTTTTGTGTTTTGTGCCTTGTAGAAACTGATAATATGGCAAATGTTTGTTTGTGTGTTTATCTGTGTGTATCTCACTTGCTGAAGATAGTTCACCAGTCGGCACATAAACTCTCCAAAGATCCAGCTGGGCAGTGGGTACAGTGTGGCAGTGAAGGGCACGCAGCAGACCAGAAACAAGATATCAGTAGTAGCCAGGTTTACTGGAAGAGAACAAGAACAGTGATTCCTAAACAGTGTTATTCAAGAAGACACGTCTAGGTGAGATATATTTAAAGAGGCAAAAATACCTGTGTCAATACCACTGTCACTGTGACATAGATTTTTGTCAAAAACAGCAGAAAGCCCTCACACACCTCACTGCAGATAAAAGTTCTTAAGTAAACGCAGAAAGTTGGATATTTTATTTTAACTTGTTAACCTGTTAACCAGACCCAGCATGCACCTGTTTTTGGATTTGGGTCACTTAGCGTACTCCCCCGGTGGTGCATTAAATCAGGGATTAGTTAAGATAGATGTGTCCTTTTTTAACTATGTTGAGTTGATGCTGACCTTAACCATAACCCCCATAATGATGTCATCCATAATCCAAATGCAGGAAACTCCACAAGGTCCCTTTAATTTGATTTACTACATCTCTGTACTGCAAGAATCCCCTCATATGTTTTTTCTTATAACTTTGGAAAGTCACAATTTCCTCAGGAATTTCCTTTTTCTACCCTATTATCTCTTCTATGGGGCATCCCGCTTTCTATATTATCAAGCTGTGCAGCTTCAAAAAACGTTTCTTCCACTGAACACACTGAAAGGATAACAAAAAAAGAGTCAGACCTATGTAAAAGTTGGTGACCGTCTTCATCTGCTGGTGCTTGGTGACCACATGGATGACCAGCGAGTTCCCAACCAGGCCGACCAGCATGATGAGACTGAAGAAGGTGGGGACCAGCCAGGCGTCAACCAAGACCGGTGGCCCTTGGCCCTCCAGAGCTGCAGACTCGTTGCAGACGGACCCACAGTCTGGACCGCGACTGGCTGCTGATTCCACCATCGTCTTCACAACTCGAAGCCAGGAATATTTCTATGGCACATGTGGAACATATTTGAATTTGGTGGTTTCTCAGCAAATGTTACTGCTCTTTGAGTAACTTTGAGTAACATGTCAATGTCTGTTTCTCTAAGAACACCATGCAAAGGCAACACAAACAATGTCAATATCCAAGTATAAAGAATTTGATATTTGATTTTGAATATGAGCACAATTTATTATTATTCTTGAAGCCAAACTTAATATTTAAGCATACTGAATAAGCTTTTTTCTGTATAATAAGCTTTTCTTACCTGTGTTGTGACTTTTTTGCGTCTGCAGTGTTCCCCTCTCAGCTCTGAAAAAACAGGTCTAGTCCAGTGTCAGTGATGTGCTGCTGTTCTGCTCGTCTGAGATGAAAGCGCCGGTATAGACCACCATACCTGGCGAGGGGAGGGGGTGTTTGGAGGAGGCAGGAATCAGGAAGCATTTATGTGAGTGGAAGAGCAAGAGACAGAGGTAGTAGGAGCTTTAAAAGAAAATCTCCATCATCGCCTGTAATTACTTAGGACTGAGTGCCCCATATAAGTACTGCAGCTGGATTCAGATGGAGTTATTTTAATTTTTCATCATGTTAACATCCAGACGTTGTAGTGAATGTTCTCTTCAGCTCTGGAGTCTACAGGTTAACCACAATCAAAAAAGTTGATTCATTAGAACAACAGGGAAATCATAGAGACTGGTACTTACCTGCAAATGAAAAGGAAAATGAATGAATAATGGCGGTAGCTGGAGGTCATGGTGACAGTTCATCTTGATCTCCCAAACAAACAAACAGTTTTTAGACCTGTCATTATATTCGTCGTGGCCTTTGCTGCAAAGTAACAAACAGCAAACCTTTCCAATTGCACAGTGTGGTGCCAAGAAGTGTTTATATACACACATTACAAACACTGATTTTTGTTGTTTTTTCTGCTGTTTGACACATTATTCTCGCAATCAAACATACAAAATCATTAGATATTTCTTTGCTTGAGATAAAATAAGTGAAAACTGATATTTTAGAGGAATTATGATGTGTGTGCAACAAACTAATATAATTTGAGCAGATTTGTTCAGGGTGTATGAGTACCTTTATCTGAGTTGCTCCTATCTTTTCTCTTTTAGTAAAAAAGAAAAGGGAAAAATGTGTTTATTGAAGGTGCTCTTACTGAATGTGTGTTAGATTTAAAAATAATGAATAAATGTAAGTCTTAGTCACTAACAAATGCTGTGTAAAGACAACAACAGGAAAACTATCTTTGCTGGTTACAGTTGGGTTTCATCTTCTCTGTGCCTTTGACTTTAATCAACTGGGTGCTAAATAAGTGTATTCTGATTCATTATATATATATACATATATGTTTCCTAGCAGTCGGAGAGTGCCTCAGGACTCCAGATTTCTTTTGAACAAAACAAAAAATCTCCACAAAAAAAAGATAATTTTCACATTGTATTATAATTAGTTTTCTCATTAAAAATAATCACCTTTACCCACGTACTCTGTGGCCCACTACATGTCAGAGCATGAGGTCAGTTATGAAACAGCCCTCCTGGTGAGGGTGTCATTAAAGGACACTTCAGCAGGGACGACGTTTGATGTCAAATGAAATCTGTGGCAAGCCATAGAAGCCATGGGTGTCATTATTATTTGTTTTGTTTTCTTGTAAAAAATGCAATAATTTGTATCTGTGCCAAAAACTTATTTAGTTTATGAGTTGTAACAAATGAATTTATTAATGTTAAGATATCATGTATTAATGCTTTATAGATCTGTAGCAAATGTATTTATTACCCTTGACTATACATCTTTATGTGAGGATATACCCCACAACCTGGCAATGCAAAGGTTATCCACAGCAATGTTTTATTTATGATTTGTAAAGCATTAATACATTAGTTAGACATTAATATAGCCATTACTTGTAACTTGTGAACCCTATAACCAATTGAATGTACACCTGAAGAAAAGTGGTACAATCTCTTCATCGCAGAATAATTATTTTATTAGAGAATTTGTCTAACTGTCTCTCCAGCCTGTAAGGAGACCAATAAGAGATTTATTGACAAGCTTGGGAGACAGTTACATCCACTGTGGTTTATAAGACGGCTATTGGCTCTGACCCTGCACATCCAGGACAGGATATCGAGTCAGAGGGCAGCTTCTTAGACTTTTCTACCAGGTGTGCAATGGGTTGCAGTTGTGCCCCCTGAGATGAAGCCCCTGCGGTGATGGGGGCAGGAACAGGTACAGAGGCAGATAAGCTTTCACTCAGGTGATCCCGCCTCTTAAATTGACACATTGAAAACTGGCTGATGTTTTCAGGGAGGACGGCTCTGGATCTAAAGGAACTGCCTGTCCCTGTGTTCTTTAGGATGGAGAGGGTGGTGCTGATGTTTCGGGGGTCAATATGTGTGGTGTTGCAAAGTGGTGATTTCCTCTCAGCCAAAGCCTTTAATAACTCTGACGTCTGACAAAAGTAGCAGAGGGAACATTCAGAAATCTGCCAAAACACATCTGTCAGTGAATTTGATACTAATTTATAATCTATAGATACATTATATGAATCCAGTTTAAGTGTGTGGTTGTTTTAAGTGATGATGTGTAAAAGTTGTTTTTACAGCTCATTTTGCTGCCCCAAAGTGTCCCAAAAAGATTTTGTTTACTTTCCTTTTAATGACATATTTTAAATTAGTTATAAATACAGGGATAACTAAAACTATGTCAGTGCATCCCTCCTTTATCCCTTGGCCATATCCTTTAAAGACCCACAACATTCAAAAACATCCAGTTATTTCTTTTTGCCCTGGAAAAGCTATTAGTAAATCTAACAATAATACTGTAGGCTATGTATAATTTTTTACTACCTTAACCTCATAACACTCTCTGCTGTCAGAATCTCCATCATTGCTTTGATTGTCCATGACCCCAAAGGACCTTAAAGAAAATCAAGCAAAGCTCCCATTCATTACCTCAGTAAATACTACAAGATAGATGATTAAAACAAATCTTTCAACTTGACTGTACCCCCTTTCTCCTTCTGCCTGAATACAAACAAACCTACAGAGGTTATGCAGAGATGTATGATGGAACAGAACGCACCTGGTTCTGCTAACAGAGCCATCGCCATGACGACTCAGATGAAGATTCTAATGACAACTGAGCCATCTCCATAACAACCGGTCTAAGTTTGTTATTTCGGTAATGATGTAACAATCATCCTACTACAACTCCTACGGTCGAACTGCTCAACATGAAAGAAGTGGCCACATGATTTCATATTACTGGATTCAGCTATTTATTATTTCATATGTACACAGACATATTGCACAGGTTACAAATCTTAACAGCAGTCTATACAAAGTCCTGGTTTAGATCAAGCAAAAAATAATCCAACATAAACCTCATGTACTCTTATACGAGGGATACATGCTTGGTGTGTGTTTTTTTTGTGCGCTTGTGTGGTTCATGGGAGATTTACATTCTTTATATTTACACACAGAGATAAATAGATACTTATACAAACTAATAAAGCAGATTCAAGACACTCAAACTCTTCCACTTTTGCATACCACTGGTACATGACACTGGATGATAGCACACTGTCTCACAGCGTGTTTATCAAACGGCTGATGTCGACCTTGACGTCTATAGATGTTAGTGGATAGATTCAAACTTGAAAACAGAATACTTAAAAGTATCACGCTTCATCTTCTTAGCTTTACTAACGCAAACCTGATCAGCTCTCAGCTTCAGTGTTGCTCATGTACCATTCCCTCCTGCATACAAGTCATGGTGAAATTTGACTGAAAATATTGTGCGTGTATGTGTAAGATGGCAGCTAGTCACAGAATAAAAAAAAAAAACACCTTCGCCTTTGAGGTCCTTCTATAGTTTTTTAGATGCAGTGCCACAAATAAAAAAGCAGTTGTCAAGATCAAAGGTATCTGAATCTATAATCAATATGTTGAGATGGTTTTTGACTACATCGACTATATTCAAACCTTCCTCTAAGCATGAAACGTACATGGGCTTCACGAGTGTGCGTGTGCAAGTGGCCTGCAGGAAGAGCAGTGGTGGGAACGCAGGCACGTCTGTATCTCAGAGATTTCCTCATGTCCGACTTCCTCGTCAACATTCAGTCTCTCAGTCTTTGTGGGTGGGACGGGGTTTGGAATAATAAGGGTGCAGGGAGGATAGAGGTCCCGTGATGCTCATATGTTGAAGCTTTCTCCACAGCCACATGTTCCCTTGATGTTGGGATTATTGAAGACAAATTCACTGGACAGCTTTGACTCCACAAAGTCCATCTCAGTGCCCAGAAGGGTCAGCTGAGCCTTCTTCTCTATGAACACCCTTACACCTGTAAGAGTCACAGTAGTCATTAGACGTTTGAGTATTTCCTGCTTCAGCACTCCCTAGTGGTAGCATAAAAAATAAAGTTATGTGGCAGACAGCTATGCATGCTGTGAAAAAGTCTTTAAAAAAAAGTATTTGAGCTTTGTTCTGCATGCCTTTATATCCCAAACACTCAATGTTTGTTTTACTATAAAGGAAAGCACAACACGCAGACACAGCTTACCATCCTGCAGCACTTCCTCATCAGATTTTTCTCTCTCCTTAGTGTAGTCCAGTGTGTAAGTCAGTCCATTGCAGCCACGTGTTCTCACTCCGACCTTCAAACCGATCTAGGAAGAGCCAGACAGATATTACAATTCAGTGTAACTTTCCATTTGCCAATCACGACATTATAGTTTCAGCAACAGTATTTATAGAGGACAAAAGGGAGATGGAATACAGATGTGTACGGGTCAGTAGGTTTGGGTACCGACTAAATTACATCGGTATTACTGAGTAGCGATTCACGTTTTATAAATCAGTGCCACACTTCGGTACCTCTGGCTCATCCGGGTGAGACCTGAAAGGGACTGGATAAAAGATACAATGTGTATTATTTAGCTACATAGAAGTTATCACTATATTGATGACACATATTCTGGTACTTTTGTTTTCTTCTGGCATTTTTAGATGCAACAACTCTCTAGAAGCTGTAGGTAAGTCTCTCTAACTCACTCACAGGATCCTGATTACCTAGGCGCACTGAAAGGAAAATGGAAAGATGAAAGCCCGTACTATCCTAATTATTGTTTACTCAATGTGTCATACCAATTGATTGCCCATTTCATTCTTTAATTATGGCTCAAAACCTATTTTGAGGTCACAATGACCGTCAATTCAGTGACTTATGACTGTGAATTATGGTCCAAATCTTGCCTACTGCTCCTGAGTTATGGTGAGTTATGGTGTTGAATAATGGCCAAAAAAGTATTTTCCCAAAACATTACGGTGTCACAATGAAGTTGACCCGAAATGTAGTCATAATGAATTCTTAAGTTATGGCCAAAAATGTGTTTGTGCACCTTTAAAAATCACTTCTGAGAAATCTGTTGCCTAAAATCATTTGTGACTTTAGCAATGGAGGGAAAAATGGTGGCCTTATTTTATTTTTTTCTCTGCATATTGGGGAAAGATAAAAAGTCTTTCACAACCCAAAACAGAAGAGGATGAGAACAAGAACAACAACAACAACAACACAGCACCCTGCTTCCATTACAAAAGACGTCGAGAAGCACCGTCTGCTTGATGATATGATGCTCCAGTGAATGTTGGCTGATCAATTACTCACATATTCTGGCTTGTCCTGCAACAATATCCTGATCTTGTTCACAGCCGATGGAGTCTACAGAAAAGACAACAGAGAAGGTCACTAAGCACAGCAACAATACAGTGGATTCAGATGGAAGCAGTGTATTTTGGCAAAGCTGTGACTGTCGAACACACTGAGCAACACAGGAAAGCATGGACCTGTGGTGCTGGTTTAAGTTGTATGGGCTGAATCTTGTACTTTCCCGTCCCATGTGAAAGGTTTCTTGCCAAGGGCTATACACTTGATGACGGTACAGGCTATAATCAAGGTACAACCTGCGCTCCTTGGGAGGTCGTATCTGAGTCGTTCGGTTGTATCTATTATCAGTCATGGTATCTCATCTATGCTATGTTATCGTATCGTATCTATCTATCGCGGTTTCATTCTATCTGTCTGGTCTGTCTGTCTGTCTGTCCTGTAACTCCTGCAGGATGTAGGTGCAGGAAAGAGGGATCCCGGTGTTTGGGCTCTCACGTGGTGGCATTTGGGAGACTGAAGTGAACTACATTAGCCACATGGTGCTAATCCCTTAAAGCCGGCGTGTTCCTCTCTCTGTGTGCGACTGTGCCGCTGATACGAAATGTACAGTACATCCCAAACTGTGTCACAGCCTGGAGCTGTTTCATAACAACACTGTCAACCAGGTGTAATGTCCATGTAGTATTTTACAATGGATTTTAAATTGTCAGGGTGGATAATCACACAACACCTGAACTTTATTATTAATTATCAGATTATGGTATTAAGTTATGTTGTGTTCGATGCATCGTTTGGTAATATTCGTGTTTATCATCGTCCTTTTATGAACCTGACAGGTAAAAAAACAACAAAAAAACAGAACAGCAGCAGAACCCTTTAAAGAAGCATTTCACCCGCGGAAACATTCATCTTTATTGAAAGTATATTGAAAGTTATATATGTAGTCGAAATGTAACATAAATTTTGAATTTGGTGCCTATTTGACCGAGAAAAGAGTGTTTGTAGTCTCACCCCCTCTACAAAGATATGAGACTGCCTGTTCCAGTGATGCAAAATGCGATTGTTTACAGTCATTGAGAGCAGGAAGTGCAAACAGGAAATCGGTGTTTCCCGTCTAGGGAAAAATTGAGGGAGGCGGTGCACGGCAGTGTTCAAAGATGATGACTGGGTGTTTAACTGATACAAAGGGGCTAATGAAGATGGGGTGAAGTTGTCCTTTAATGGAATCATTGCGAGTTGCTCGGTTTGAGGATCCTGTTACTTCAATTTTATTCCGGACTCCTTTATAGCTCTGGACCACCGTACAACACATTACTTGAGTTCCAAACACTTCCTCCCCCATAAACGCCATAGTTCATTTGTACTTTCATAGACTACTTTTCACTGACCGACGGGTCTATTTGTTTGTCTTTATTTAGGCTCTATAGAGAGTAGCAGGAAAAAGTGATTCTTTGTGGAGAGAACTTGAAGTGGGTGACGATCATATAATAAATAGTATAAATGAAGCCATCAAAAGACGAGGACATCACAAAGACAGGAAACGGTGTGTCATTAGAAGCTAATCCAACATGCAGAAAGGTTTCTTATCAATTGTTGGGTCACCCGAGAGGCCTCGTGATATTATGTGTTATTATTATATTTTGATTATTATCTATTATGATATTGATGTCAAAACAGACCACAGTGTATGTTGGTAAAACGGTTTATTTTTCCTTTAACTTAGAGCTACTGGTATATTTGTCTCATAGTGAACTGTTAATGTAATGAAAGGGTATTTAAGTTAGAGCTAAATCCATGGTGAAAAATGCATACAGCTAATGTTTCTTCAATCGTAGATTAAACGAACAATTCACTCATTTTAAACATTGAGGTTACAGAGTTACACTCTGCTTACAGACACATATTTACGTCTGATGTCTGGGCATGGAGTTGTTAAGATGTTAACGTTATTGTTTGCATTATGGGAAATGTGAGATCCAGTATTTCTGGAGCTCACTGGTGACTTTTAAAAGCTGATGATGGCTCGATCCCCAAAACTTCATGGAAAGACAAACCTGAATCACCTTTACAATCAATCCTGAATAACTCTTACCTCCCCCTATAAGATTCAAAACTGTATCAGAGGGTTAGGGTTGTACGTGTTGGCACTGACACATTTCTAATACACAGCTGTCTGTCTGTCTGTCTGTCTGTGGTGTCTCAGTCGGGACGATTACGCAAGCGCAGCGCAGCGTTGTCTGGGGAGCAAGGGTTACCAGTAACGCCCAACTCAAGGGCAATTACAACTTATAACCGACCCCCGTGGTCGTAAACCGAGTGTGTATCCACGGATATAAGCTCGTGGCTGCGATGGGAATGCAATGTTACTGGACACCACCTCAAAAGTAGAAAACAAGTCGTAACGTCGCTGAAGTCACAGACGGTTAGCTAACGTTAGCTTAGCAACGTTGGATCACGTAACGTTAACACGAGCTACTTAACGGCCGCCGAGGCTAACGTCACTCTCAGACCGACATATGAACGGACAAAAACGTGCTCTGCGTGAGTTAATAACCCCGGTTTAGGTCTCACCAGTGTCAGAGCGGCTCTTGTAGGCAGTATCTTTCTTTTGCTGACCGCTCGGACGGTCGCTCGCACCATGGAGGCAGACATGTTGTTGCACTTAAAATCACAACATTGAAATGCGCAAGCGTGTAGGAAAAGTGGCCCCGCCCCCGAAAAGGCAGCCCATTCGATGATTGGCCGACACTGCGACGGACGGGTGCGACAGCCAATCAGCTCACGGATAAAAGATTACGTTCACTTGTTATGCAATACGTATAAACCGGCATTACAAAACTACCCAACATTGTCAGAAAGTAATTTATGCCTTTGTGAGAATACTATACTGAATAACCTGGAAGTCCACTTACTAGTTTTTTCTGGCACTTCAACCACATCATTCAGCTTTGTTGTTCAAACCAGTTTCTATTGTCAGTGGTAAACTTTAACATTTTAGTTAAAAAAATAAAAATAAAAAAACACCACCATCCAGGATGACCAGGGTTGACTAACTTTACTCTCCCAAACTGAATAATTCATAGAATAATCTCTAATATGCACAGCAAATAAAGTTTCTTTCTAAATACTCTATATTGATCTATATTTACTGCCAGTGGCTGTTGTACTGGCTGAAATTAGTCTGATAGCTATACACTTATTTATTATTTATTATATTATATATTTATTTATACTTATTTTCAAAAACAGATATCCAAAGAAACATTACACACTGGGATTTGATTTGTTTAATGAATTCTTTGAGACACAAAATGGATCGCAAGCCATCCTTTCCTGGCAGGATCGGGGTTCCGATAAACTAAACCTCCCATTTGAGTCCAACAAAAGAAAAGCAATTAGGCTGGCATTAAAACAAAACTACTTTAAAATGAGAAATTTGAGTACAGTAACAACAACACAATTCTTTTATAAAATTCAGCCGTATTAGGACAACAAAGCCAGACAGTCCATATTTGAAGTTGAATGATAAGCAGGTCTTAGAGACATCAACTAGCAGCAACGTAATTCAAGGGCGTGGACCCTCACAGTGCAGCTACCAATCTGTGGCACCATTACAACAAAATTAAGCCTTTGTGGCAAATAAATACATTTATCTCTCCACTGATCTGAGATTACCTATAATTTAGTTTCAGATTAGGTGTTTGCAGTGATGTAGCAATAAACTGGACCAGTTGTTTGATTCTTCCAAACCTTACCACTGGGTGTAAGCACGAGCAACTTTTTGCCCAACATTCTCAACTATATGCTCTTGCACTATAGTTACAACACTTCCTAGCATGTGTAGAAATAGATACAGGCCAGGGTTAGCAGAGGAAGTACAGTTTTACCGTCCTATCGTTCACACTTGAAAGGCAGTGGAGGGGCAGTACAACTCTGAAATATGGGTAGATCAGCAGTGTCACAAGATAAAACCATGATCCTGAAAAAAAATAAAAATAAAACCTACAGGGTGGTTTCTCTAACACAGAGACACACAAATACAGACACATTGTGGGCAGAGCTGCTTTCGAGGCTGAAGGAGAGACGGACTGATGCATGTCAGTGCAGAGGACAAATTAAACAGGATTTAAGATGAATTCGATAAAAAAAGATCCTGGCCATTATGAAAGGTACACTGCCATTCAAACGTTTTTCAACAATATACATTGCATTTTTTTGGTAAAATCTCAAACATAATTGGAAATTCATCCTAAAAACCTTGTTATAAAATAAGGAATAAGTGAACTGATAAGACTTTTTGGTTTAATTTAAAAGTCTTGATCTTGATGACTTAACAGACCTCAAGACACTTTAATTAGCAGACATCATACCATCGCCACATCCATTCTTACAGCTGTAGTGTTGACAAACACTGGGTCTTACCTGACTGAGGACTGTTTAGTCTACAGTTTCAAAGTTGGCATCAAGTATGTAGTCTGCAAAAGATACCTCAGCATGGTGAAAACCTAATACTTTTACTGTTAGTCATATAACAGACAATTACTTACATTTTCTAATTTCTGAGATTTCCCACTAAATCTGCAATGACATTACTTGAAATGTAATGAGCTTAAAAACAACTTGACTGGCAGTGTAGGTAAACAAAAACATGAGGTGCATGCATAATGGCTTGTCTTGTTAAAATAAAAGCTTTAAAAAGCTCCTCTGAGGAGGAGAGCTTTAAGGGGGGGAAACAACACACATAAAAAGGCCCTATTTGGCTTCAAGTCAAGGCGTCCTGGCTTTGGCTTTTAACAGGCTCCCATTGGCCCAACAGTCCCATTCAGATCTAAGGGTTTCTGGACTTTGGGTTGCCATGATGTCTGCCTGGACAAGAGTAGAACCTCATGGTTTGTGTAGTCACAGCTGCTGCTCACTCCACTGGGCTCTTCCTGTGACCAGAGCGACCCAAATTTCGGCACGCTAAACTACCTGAAACAAAAACAGAATGCAATTGTGAAAAATGTACTCCAAAACATGGCCCACTTTTTTTATGTAGAATCTTATTTTATCAGGCTAAATGACAAAACAGGGCAGACTTCCTCATCCTGAAAAACTGACTACTCCTTTTGCTGCTTTATTTACTTTATTTCAGGTTACAAGTATGATCAGTCACAGAATATGTTCTTGGACTATATAGAAAACAACAAATGAAAACAGGAGCAACATGCATAACATCAGCAAGCGTGCTGTCCAGAGTCCAGAGACAGATGGATGAACCTGAACATGCTCGAAACCTTTCTTGCTCTCACTCTCTCTCCCCACCATGCCTAAAACAAAAATAATATAGAGTATACAGGGCACCTTGTCTCCATTAGTAACTGAACCAAATGTTTATACCAATTACTTTCAAACAAAGTTGTTGGGGTTGGGCATATGGGGAATAATAATTCAAACACTGGCTTTGTATGAAGAAGGGAGAGCTGCATCTTTAATGGGGAAAGTACTTTAAATCACTTAATATATTCCAGGAAAGTCATTTAAAATAAACAATCTAATTTGTATTCATTTATAAATTAAACTATACTATACTATACTATACTATACTATACTATACTATACTAGTGACACTGACCATCTTAAAGCGATAACTCTTCATTGTGACAGTACCTAAAGCAAAGAAACAGTAAATTTCCATACCCGCTTGTGGACTCAATATCACATTTTGTTGCTTTCGCTTCTTCTTCTCTTCTTGTATGGGTGAACCCTGAAAAAAGGAAGATAAACAGGGGCACAGGTGTAGCAGTGTACAAGTATCAGTACAAACACATTTAACAGGTCCAGTGTGTAATATTTAGGGGGCTCTGCTGGCAGAAATGGAATATAATATGCATAACTGTTTGCATTAGTGTATAATCAGCTGAATATGGGAATATTTGTTACCTAAGAATGAGCAGTTTATATCTACAAATGCTGTGGGTTGCCACTGTCACTAGATAGAGGCTTTTGTGTTTTGTGCATTTCCAGCAACCATTGTGTCTTTTTTGTGCTTGGAAGGAGAGGTTGAAGTTGGAAAGTTGCAATCTGCAACTACACTGTTGGATCCAACTAAATCTTTCAACTGGGCCTTTAAAGAATATTTTTCATTGACTGACACAAAACTGTGCTCGTACCTGTCTCTCCTTTTCTCTCAAATTCCTCAAGTGGGCTGAAGAGGGGGAAAAGCTTTCCATCTTCACATTACCTGCCAAATCGGAATTAAAAATTAAAAAAGGAAACGTATTCCCTTTCTATTGTACTCCCTCTTCTCCTGTACTTTATCATTTTAAAGCAATAGACTGACAAAACTATTGAGCTCAAGGAAATATATTTTATAAGGGCTTAATGCATTTGAAAATAAAACAAACTTCGTCCGAACCTGCAGGGCTTCTGTACAGCTGACAGTCCTTCTTAATGTGGGCACTTGATCCACACAGGAAGCAGCAGCGTATCTCTCTCTCCAGTGCATCTCTTTTCCTCCAGTGCTCACTCCGGTGTCGGACCTGATCCTTGCCGTCCTCACCTGGATCCATTTTGTCTCGCAGGTGCTCTGGCCTTCTCTCAGAGTCCCTTCTATGCTTGGACCTGGGTCAAAGTTATCCACAATATAATACAAACACGCAGTTTGACACATGGTGCAGATACACATTCATCTGCAAGTTAGCAGTGGGACAAATTCAGACATGTATTGTGATTATACCTACTTCTTACGCATGGGGCAGTCTTTCATGAAGTGGCCAATCTTTCCACAGATGCGGCAGCAGCGGTCATTTGGAGCCACTTCTCCCTCAGTGAGGACTTCGGGGTCGAAGAAATACTCCTTCGATAGTTGAAGACAAATTACAATGTCAGTGCTTAGACAATTTCAGCAGAATATGCAAATGTGGTGTATAGACCGCAAATACTAACCATCTGACTCGGGTAGACAGGAGGAAAGGCTTTGACTGGTGTGCCAAATACTGTTCTGCCATTGATGAAAGCCTTCATGATGAAGTTAGTCACTGTTTCCATGACAAAAAAAAAAAAAAAAAATAGATGTGAGACAATAATACATTTTGAAAGACAGGCAATGAGACAACAGATGGCAGATAAAAACAAATGATCATACTTTTCCTGGACAGACCAGCACCGAGATTATGATTCAGGTCGAACGGATCTGTAATGTGAACAGAAAAGAAAGCAACACAACATAACAATTTTAAGTATTTTCAGGCAGACAATCAGAAAACAATCTCACAATACTAATTAGTGTAAAGATCTTAGTTTAATGACATGATCATTTCAACAGCTAAGCAGTTCCAAGACACAGTCTGCTTCATCTATAATAATGCTTGTGTGTTCAATCTTTTTGTGGTGCAAGGGATCCTATGTTTATCACGGGAGCTGACCTTCAATGACAATGTATTTGGACGTCCACTGCTTGTTGAAGGTGGTGAGGCGGCCGTGCTGACGGATACAGACAACGTGCTCTCTGAAGTCAAAGTCCTCGGTATAAAAGCGGAGCAGGCCGAGCCACAGCTCCCCCACCGTCTCGGTGTTCTTCCCGTACTGTGGCCAGCGACTGGGCTGCAGGTGGATTGACGTGTTGGTAAGACAGGGTGTCACATTCATATTTTCAAATCTGTGTACAGGGGCACGCACACAAAGTGTGAAAATCCAAAATACTCACTAGTGTTTTTAAATCATGAAAGAAGTAGACGTTCCAGCCATCAACTAGCACCTCCGGCTTCTTCTTTCCATCATAAATCTGCAACAAAAACAATCGAGAGAAGTTGAACACTTTCAGACTTCATGGCAATATTAACATATTGTCATTACTCAAATTTGTATTTGTATGCTTGGGAAAATAATTAAAATTTTCTAGAAAGAAAGGTTTTCTTACATAACAGCATCTGAATAGAAAAAATGAAATCTATGAGTAATGAATTAATCTTTATCGCTGAGGAAAATTGGAGTAAAAACTGAACGAAGAGATTCTGTACGTTCAACCTTACTTTGCTTGTACACGTTTAAATTAAAAGTGTGTTTAGTCAAGAGACAAAAATACAGTTTCTTGGATAGTTTAATACTGAACTATATAATTAATGAAAAGCAATGCCACTCAAGCAATCCGTAACATTCAAGAATTAAGCAATATGCAGAACTCAAATTAGAATGAAAAGAATCTAAAGTTTGAATCTTTTTAACAAACATGTCATTTGCACCTCTTGCAGCACAGGGATAACAGGTGGGTTTCTCTGCTGGAGGAAGTACAGCACCATGAGGGTGTAAGCGTAGGACGAGAGGCTGCCACGTGAAGCATCTCCAATGTCACACATCTGTAATAAGATAAAAAGAAACATGATGGTTATACAGTAATGTAATACAGCATACAGCAGAATATATGACACTGGAGACATAAGGACACTTAAGCTATGAGTAGACTCACCTTGGCAAAAACCTTCATGACATAACAGAGGATCTTAACTCTCCTGTCAATGGCAGCATATGAAGCTAGCAGGTGTGTGTTGTGCAGGGCCTGAAAAGAAATACGATTGTCTTAAAGCATGTCATGTAAGTTATTCAATATCAAATTTGACACAAACTGAAGCAGAAATGAAAAAAAGAGACAGAGCCCTACCAAAGTGTTGTAGAGGCTAATGTCTCCCTCCAGGCCAGTGCGAACATGGTAGAACTTCACAATGGGTACTTTTGCTGTAGTGATGGGTAGGATGTTCTTCAGACCTGCAGATATGGAAACAGGTTAAAGGGATGCACTCACATCGTTTGATTGGGTTTTCTACATTTTTACTCTACATCTTGCTTCCCAAGGAATTTGTCAAATCAAAGTATTTGAACATTAGCTTTTCTTTCTTTTTGGCCTGTTAACATAAACTCCAAATGGAAACAAACTGAATGGCTATGAGCTAAAAAAATTCTTTGTTCACCATCAGCTTCCTAAAATGAGGGTCTAAGGGTAGAGGGTGTCGTAAGCTGCATAGATGAGAAGTTCTTTTAACTATAATTGGGATCTTGGGCTACATAAATAAAATTGCCTCAACTTCTTACTGACCTGGGTGTTTCTTCAACAGTCTCGCCAGACTTTCAATTATAGTGATGCAGTCAACATCCTGTGGAAGAAATTAATTAACTGAATTATATTTTACGGATTAGAGATTACGAAGAATCACTCCAACAAAGCACCATTACCATTAACTACAGACAACTCAGAATTTAAATTACTCCAATGATTGCACTAAATACTAACAAATAAAATAGGTTTCATCAATCAATAATGTAAACTCTTGAGTTTCTGACTTACATCTATGGTGTCCTGCCCATCCAGCACCATACAGATGTCTAGGTCACTCTGTCTGAAGCCAAAGCCATTTTTGGATGATCCAAATAGTTGTAGCCGAGCTCCTGTTCACCAACAAGAAGGCTTTGTTAATGTCATCATAAATGTAGAACATCATTCTAACATTGTGGTGGTTATTGGGGAAGTCAATAAAATGAATTATCATGGTAGTTTAAGTTTGAAAAACTTAAACTAGTGCTAAACAGTGAAGGTGGGGGGTTACTTCACCAGCAAACTGTCGTTTGACAAAGGTCTCCAGGTCTTGAAGGATGTGCTCTCTTACACCCACTTCCAGTTCATCTGGGGCAAAGTCAGCTAAAAAAGAAACAGACCCATCATCACACCTGACCACAGTCGTACACCTCATTTTAATGATTTCACCAACTGTAAGTACTGTCAAGTAATTTGACCAGGCACAAAAGCAACTGAGCTACTGGCAGCTGTAATAATATGATCACATTTTCAGGCACTGCCACATTTGTTACGTTTTCCTCCGCTGATTTTTGACAGGTGGACTTGAAGCCCCGTCTTTCTGAGCCTTATATTGACATTTGAGGGAGTCGTTCATGCTTGATTGATTGGATTTCACGTGAGAAGATGGCATCAATTAAGTTGAAAAGAGCAATTAACAAGGTTGGCTGAAACCACGTTGCAGCACTAACGATCAAACCTCATTAAAAAAAAAAAACTTGAAGATTCAGGATAACAATATGAAAATGAAAATACAACAAAGTATAAGGCTCTTACACTGCCATTTTACTTGTTAGCACATTTCATTGCCATTAACGTAATCGCCTCCGACCCAAAATACTTATGCAACCATATAATACTTACTGTAGCACTGCTCACAAACTTTGTTAAGGACATTGAGAAACTCTGGTGTTAATGTGGGCAAAGGATCCAACTGGACTTTCTTGAAATCTTCTGGACAATCTTTCTTCAGATGACCGTCACGCTTGCACAAGCTGCACACGACCATGTGTGACTAAGAGAGATTGAAAAGAGTTTAACTTAACGACTTCCAGTCACCTACAACCCAAATGATTACCACATAACTTTAAAATGTTCACTTAATTTTGAAATCCTTCTTACACGAGGCTGTGCTTACCTTCCCTCTGGTGAAAGCTTGTCTGTTGAACTCATAAGACACTTTCTTCTGTTTTGGGGTTTTATTTTCTGGACTCTTATCTTTAATTGTATCCTCTAAATGGGGAGGTGAAAAACTCACAGGTGCTAATTCTACCTCCTCCTCATCCATTGAACCAGGTGTGTCCAAATCTGGACCCTCCTCATCAGACAGAAGCTCCTCCCCTGAGATCTCGTCCACTGGGAAAATCTCCTCATCCTCTGTGGTGAAGCTATCCAAGTGGTGTCTGTTATGACTTTCCTCATCAATATCTACATCCTCATCCTCCTCATCCTCAGAGAGACTGCTCTTGCCCAAGTCCGCTTTTTCCTTCTCTCGCTCTTCATCGGAGTCACTGTATTCTTCAACTTCCTCCTCTTCCTCAATAATGCAATCAGAGTCTTCAGGGCCGTTTTCTACAGATTTAGGTTGATTTGCATGCTGTGACTGAACGCCGAGGTGGCTGAAACCTGATACAATCTCCTCATTCACATCCTTCGCGTTTGCCCCTTTGATGGATCCACGCTGTGCCTGTGTCTTGTGACTAGCAGCTGGCGTGTTGAGTGGCAGTGCAAAGTACTTGTATGTGGTTTTGAGGCAATGCAGGATGTACTCGTACATTTGCTGGCTGTTCAGTGTGCGGGCCACATTTCTCTTCACAGCAAATGGGTCTGGAACAACGGAAGAGTAATCAAGTCTCTATGTACTCAACTGAAATGTTATGTTCAATTAAAAAGCCAGTAGACGTATACAAACAAATCTAGGTACAGGCTCTCAGTGTAGTAGCCTTAATCTTACATTTGGAACTTTTCAGTACCACTTAACCAAGTCCAATTAAAAACAACAATATTAACATGTCCTTTATTGGCTGGGATAGAATTAAACTGAGCATGGAAGTGCAAAAGTGGCCTTTCATTTTGTTGTTGCATGTTTGTTTCAAGCTGGACATCGACTGACCTTCCACAGCGATGCGTTTCTTTGGCCAGTCTTTCATCTCCCGGGAGAGGACAGTAGTGGTCCGCACACTGATCACATTGTCAGCCATGTTGAACTCCAGCGAGTAGAAGCGGAGCATTTCCACCCAGAGAAGCCCGACTTCCACAGGCAGGTGAGGGCTCTGAAACACCAGTGGAACCTGCAAGAAAACACAGCACAGAGTAGTTGTGGGGATAGCGCAATGGTTCCCAGCCTTTACTAGTGGAAAAAAAAAAAAAAAAAGTTCATGCCCCACTAACACACATTTTTTTGTTAAACATTACCAATGATAGGGGAAACAACTAATAAAAAAAAATACACATTAAATAAGGTCAGCAAAATAGCACGAGCAAAAGTTTTTCCTGCTTAAATCATAAATTTACTTCATAGTTTTCCCCTGGTCATCCACACCCCCCTGCAGTGGCTCTATGCCACAGTTTGAGAACCACTGGGATAGATATTAGGCAATCCTTAGCTCCTCTACTAAACCACACAGAAAAAAAGTCTACTGATCTAGAAGAAGATTCATCACAGAAAGCAATCAAACTGCCAAAAATGAGGAAGCAACAAACTAGTCTCTGACAAAACAAACTACATTAGAGTGTTCATGATTACCTTTCCTTTAATACAGGAGCCCTCTGCTGGCTGTAATGATTCTTTGGAGGAAGGAGTGTAAGCCCAGTGTACATATCCATCCTCAACATGTGTGAGATTGAAGTCTGACAGCCTGCTGAGTGAAAACACCTTAATCTAAAAGACAATCAGATGATTAGATTAGTTTGACAAACACTGAAATTAAGACTGAATGTTTTATTGCAGGCTCAGGATGACAAGAAACACACCTCTTGCTTCAGGTAGGTAGGCAAGACGGACTCTTTGCGCTGCTGTAAGAAGTAGATAACCATGAGGGCGAAGACGTACGGTGGCAGTCCACCTTCCTCTGCACGGTCAATCACGCAGATCTAAGAGGGAAGCAGGAACAACACGTTAAAAAAATGTAAAGATACTGAGTCCCTTTTACTAGTTGCCTAGCCAATATGAGCTACAGGTCAGGGTCTCAGCTGGAAACCTACCTGGGCCCATCGTCTGAGGCCCAAAACCAGTGGGAGGAGGAGAGGTTCCTGGCTGGATAGAGCAGAAAGATAGGAGGTGGTCTGGAACGCATTTTCATTTCCTGCACTGACTTTGCACACGAGGCCACTGTAGACAAAAAAAAATAATTCAGTTTTCATTAGTGGTTTACCGCATGTGGTAATGTAACTGTGATGTGAGCATTTTATTCTGTTAGAGTGCAAAATAACTCATTGTAGTATAATAATAATAATAATAATAATAATAATAATAATAACGATCAAACACCATCATATTCAGAAAACAAAACCAATAACACTTTAATATAGATTCTGTTCTTGTCACTACAAGAATACACATATACAA